TTTATATGAGCCTCCTGTCAGTCATGTTATAGACACTCCCCTTCACTACACCTCATTCTAAGTCTGAAATTTCCAATATAATAATTCTCCTAGATAATCCTGCTGTGAGCAAACAAGCACTCTGTGTTTTGTGAAATCAGAATAAACACTGGAAGCACTTTTCCAAGATGGAGTAATTTATTACTGGTAAAGCAGATGAAGTCGGACATGGAATTAGCAACTCTGCTCCTAGACAGGTATTTAATCGTAATCTGTATGAAGCTTTAAATTGTTTGAATTGCCTGCTTCACATAAAAAATCAAGTAGATATGTGTTTATTACAAAGCAAAACAGGCCAATAAAGGCACTCTTGACCATTCTCATAAAACAGTATGAGCCAAATTTTGCTTGTAGTTGAACTCTACGCACCAGGGTAGAGCTTTCTGGACACGGACAGGAATGGGGACGGGCTCAGGTAGTAAAAAAAAAAAAAAAAAAGTCATCACCCCCTCAACCATTAGACACCTAATAATGTCACTACTCTTTTCTTCCCTTGCCTGCTTAAGACATTTTGATAAGAATAATATTTTTAACAAGAATATTTTCAATTGATCTAAATCTATATTTGTAGCATCTTCATTAAAATTTTTTCATAGTTCTTTTTCAGCAACTTTGTCCTTATCTTATTGGCCTGTCTTTGATTTAGAGAAGTAAAAGCTCTTAATTTGCTTTTAAAAGTTTTAATGAGTTTGTCCTACCATCATAATAAACTGTATTTGCTTAGTGAAGATCAGTGATCTCTTTATTTCCTTCCTTCGCTGCTAATCCAGTTCTAGGCATTTTCTATTTGATTTAATGGGTTTATGACTCTATTTTGCCCCCTAGTGGAATAATAGAGACTAGTTCTTTCCGTAAGCTTTAAATTTACTAAGGGATTTCAATTTAGAGCACGGATTCTAAATTCATTTGGTGGAAGGGACTAGAAACTTTATCAGGCCAGTCTCAGCCTGGAAATATCTTTGGATATTTAAGCTGCAGGTAAAGTAGAACTAAAAGTTAGTGTGACATTCACTTCAACTTGGAAGTAGGAAGTCTGAAGTCTGGAGGTCCAAAATGGCAAAAATACATGGACGCCTCCATGAAAGTTTCTCTAAACTGGATTACAGGGCCAGTTGTATAGGAGGCTGCATGGATACAGGACTCCACCTTAGATTCTTCTTCATGTTAATATTTCAACTGTATTTTGAGCATACATATTTGGAGAGAGTGAGACTACACAGTTTAAACACAGGCATTCAATTTGATTATAATGTCCCTCTTCATGTATATAAAAAGTAAATTGCACACACACACACACACACACACATATATTTGAACAGAATGAAGCAGTTTATTAAGAAATTCTTTACACTGTTATTGCTGCTGCTGCCTCTGTGGTAGACATGATGGATAATGTGAGAAAGATGTGTTTAGAAGATGTAAGACAAGACACTTCATACTAATCCTTGTTTCTGCATTCCTTATTCCTTAAAAAAAAAAACTAATTTTGCAGTAAAAGATGTTTATTACGGTGCTCTACTATTCCTATGTGTAATGTTTACACTATGGTTTTGTCTCGTTCACCAAGTAAAGCTGACTGGCCTTCTTTCTCTTGATGTACCAGAGAAGCTCTGACTGGATCCTTCCAAATACACGTCCTGAGATATTGCCTGTACAGCCTGCGAGTTTAAACTTTACAGTTTCAAAAAAATGTGCGCAAATCTTGAATTTTTTTTACCATGTTAACAGAAATAATTTAGATGCGGATGCAAAAAAAGAACATTCTCGGGAGCCAGGGATCGATGAAATTAATGTTCTTAATTAAGGCTTGGCTCACAGCTTAGTTCGAGGACGGAAATTCTGAGTTTTTCAAATGCAGCACAGTGCTGCCTTCAAGTCCTGTCAGAAATAGCATAATGTCCAGGTGAGAGCACTTGCACACTACCACAATGTCAAAGAATCCTGACCTCAACCCTTGTCACCGACATCTGGCAAGCTGTGATTATAGCATAGGTCAGAGACTAAGATGTTGTAACCAACAAAGAGCCCAAGTTGCAGAATTTTCTCCATACTCATCTTTATGAGAGTTTATGACATGAAAGCTTACTTGGCACAAAACAACACTTCAGCTAAAGCGTCTACTTTAAAATCAAGCCTTGAACACCAGCGCTGCAGGTTCCACTGAGATTTGAACTCGGATCGCTGGATTCAGAGTCCAGAGTGCTAACCATTACACCATGGAACCAAGGTGCTTTGAGGGCTTTTGTTTTCAACAGCTGATTACTACCATACACTGACAAGCATCCAGCAAGCAGCAATTATCCCATAGGTCAGTGCCTCAGATATTGTAATCAAAACATGGCATCCAATGCCAAAACCAGGTACAAGCTTTTTGAGATAATTCATCTTCTTTGTACAATAGTACAATACAGACTTTACAGCTTTTACTGATATTTAATCAATATTCAGGTCAGTGCGCTCCCACCTGAGCTATTTTCGCTTCTGCACATTACATTGAGTAAGCACAAACCTTCCACCATCAGAGCTCCAGTCTATGGCTCCCCCAGGCATGATATTTCAGCCAATGCGGACACGGGCTTACAGATATTCATCTTCTACTGAATTTGATCTATATTCATTTTTACAAGTGTTTGGAATCTGAAAGGCTTTGTAGGTTCGACCAAGATTTGAACTCAGATCACTGAATTCAGAGTTCTAACTATTATTGTCACTGATATCTGGCAAGGCAGGATTATACCATAGGTCAGAGACTATGATGTTGTAATCAAAGCCCAAGTTGCAGAATTGGTTCCTATTCCCCTTCAATAAAGGCAATGCAGGTTCCACTGAGATTTGAACCCGGCTCGCTGATTTCAGAGTCCAGAGCACTAACCTGCAAAGAACCCTGACCTCATCCCCACCGAACTTCTTTGGGATGAACTGGAACACCAACTTACTTAACTCTGACAAGACAGAAGTACTTGTACTGGGACCACATGCAGTTAGAAGTAAGCTTTCTGATTACATAATAACTCTGGATGGCCTTTCTGTTTCATCATCTGCAGCAATAAAAGACCTTGGTGTGATTATCGACTCTAGTCTTTCTTTTGAAGCTCATGTATATAATATAACTAGGATCGCTTTCTTTCATCTCAGAAATATTGCTAAAATAAGAAATATATTGTCACTGCACGATGCAGAAAAATTAGTTCATGCTTTTGTTACCTCTAGGTTGGATTATTGTAATGCTGTACTGTCTGGATGCTCCAGTAGATGCATAAACAAGCTCCAGTTAGTCCAGAATGCAGCAGCAAGAATCCTTACCAGAATCAGAAGATATGACCATATCACCCCTATCTTATTCACACTGCATTGGCTCCCAATCAAATTTCATATTGATTATAAAATACTACTACTGACCTATAAAGCACTAAATGGTCTCGCGCCACAGTACCTGAGCGAACTTTTGGTCTTTTATGATCCGCCACACCTACTCAGATCAAAAGCTGCAGGCTATTTGTTGGTACCTCGAATAGTGCGTGCTACAGCTGGGGGTAGAGCTTTCTCTTACAAAGCCCCACAGTTATGGAACAGCCTTCCACTTAGTGTTCGGGGCTCAGACACAGTCTCAGTGTTTAAGTCTAGGCTGAAAACATATTTGTTTAGTCAAGCCTTTTGTGAATAGTTTTTTCTTAGGTACAGGGGC